GCCCGCCAAAAGATCGATTTTGAAAGATCAAAATATGACTTTTTAAGGATTGGACGAAAGCCAATGTAAGGGAAAAATCATGTCCAAATAAACATTAATACTTCCTATGGTTAAGCTAATTAAATTATGTTAGAATCTTGAACCAATAATTTCCAGCAGAAGTTGTAAAGCCAACTTTGAAAGCTGCTCATATAATTTAAGAGAAAAACTTAGTCAAAAAATTTAAATCTAAAAGTTAGACTTAACAGACCTATTTCTAGAAAAGTACGAAATTCCCATAGCCACCCAAGCATAAATCTCCTGGGAAGTACAAACTATCGCTGTCAAGCAGACCCCTATTTGAAAATGGATTGACATGTGGTTGTTCTACCACATAAATTTATAGTGTCGCACTTTGTTATCCAGAAAAAAAAACTCAAAGAGTTGCGGGGCACCGACATCATATTTCTGTGGTTAAAAGGTTTGGGATTTCTTTAAAAAGTTTTGTTCTGTTTCGTAGACTTTTTGACATGGGTAAATAGAGGCAAAGGATTTGGAGAATGTCGTATTTTTTCAGCACCCCAAAAACACCCAGATAGGATTTCTACATCAAAGCACAGAATCCATTAGTGCTGGCCACCTCTATACGACCTGCATTAGGATTTGTGAACTTTGTAGAAGCTAAGAGTGCTTGCAGTTTAGAACTTAATGCATCGAAAGATGATGCTTGCAGAAGAGTGAATTTGTTCATTTGAAAATGTTGCCGTAGTTGTTTGATAAAGCATATTCATAGAGCAACCTATAAATAATACAGAGGAAAATATATGACAAAAATCAGATATTCATAATAATTTGAGCTTTTGAAGGAGCAGAACAGTTAGAAGTAACAAAGAAATGATGCCTTAGCAATGAGGCGACTCAGGATACATACGGGAGATGCAGCCTAGATCACTGATTCCACTACCCTGCGTATCTGCAATACGTTCTTCTGGAGAAAGTTATGGAAATTTTCCTTTGCTGATATCCTACACGACATGTCGGTAACTACTACAAAAATTGGCTTTAACCTTAAGTAACAAAATACGAAGTTATTTGATAAAAACCTCAGTATATGCAACCTTTATTAACGTTTGGATCAAAGTTGAACTTTGCAACATATTTCTTATTTTCTGTGAGCCATTTTTCAAGAGGAACAACGTCCATAGTATGAGTAATGTTTTAAAAGATACATAGATCAGATTTTGATTTAGTATTTCGAGCTACATGTAATTATGTGCAGCTTTTTTAATCGCCACTTCTACTAAATATCCTTCTTTTGTAAAATATATCTATCTAGGTCTTAGCATACTTATTGAAGAGGACGGGAGTATCGTCAAAACCTCATCTCGAATAGAAGTGATACCTCAAGCTGAAACCAATTGTAGGAAAAACTAAGTAATTTAGCACTGAAATTCTGATACCAAAACAATGTATCATTGGAACAACTTCTTACAGAAAAACTCCCTTTCCTTTAGAGTTGTCATTCCCTTAAATGAAATACAGTAATTTTGTTTGTACTCAAACTTACACTAATCTTCTCTTCAGCGGTCTAATGTTAGTCACTAACCTCACATCATCAGCTTCAAACTATCAAATGTCTTCCACCTTCACATTCTCTGCTCAATTGACAGCTAGTGGTCATGCTGACTCATCAAATGTTCTAGAGATTGTAAAAGATGCATTAATATATAGAAAGAAAAAATGTTTGATGATTTAAAGATTAATAACAGGTGAATGAATTTAAACCCTTCGAAGACAGATTTAGCCAGAATATTGGGCAAAAGTAGTGATTCAAAAAAATAGCTAAGGAGATACAACAGTATGAAATGATTTAGTCATAATATTTCTAAGGTGGTGAAATGAGCGAAATCTCTTCAAATAGTTTGAAACATTTTTTTGGGAAGGAAAAATCGATGTGGGATTATAGAAGAATTATAGCTCAATCATCAACCTTTTGGTAGGGAAATGATGGAATAATTACTCGATAACAAGGTGTACAATAAAGCACAAGAGCAGGATATTAACTATACACTATTAATCTGGCAATCACTTGGGAATTAGTTTGAACTAATTGAAGAAATTTTGCAGGCGTATTTGACAGCGTGCAGTCCTTTAAACTCAATAGATCAATAGATTTTAATTTTCAATACTCTTACATG